AGCCTCGGACAGGAAAGCAAGCTTGTACTGCCGGTCCTCCAGGACATCACTGCCAAGGGCAGGAGCACCCACGACGTACGAAGGACGGGCAGGGTCAGAGAATAGAGTGGTGGCATAGTCAAGGCGTCGGGTAGAGGCGAAGTCAGCGACGGCAGCGACAAGCGCGTCAAGACAGCCGTGCATCCCCCGTCGATGCCCCCAGTGGAGGAGTCGAAGACCGTCAAACACGCGCTGCAAGGACCACACAGGGAGAAATGAAGGGAGGCAATGGACAGGGAATGCGCGGTAGTGCACAAGCTCAACACCTGGAAACTGATCCCGATTTCTCAAACCAAGGGAAAAACAATCCTGTCGAGGAAATGGGTCTTCCAAGTAAAGACCAAGGGAGATGGGACCATCGATCACTTCAAGGCATGATAGGTCTATCGCGGATTTGATCAACACTACGGCAGCGACTACACAAAGACAATCGCTCCCATTAGCCACCACACTTCCCTTCGAATCCTCCTCGTCGTTGCCGCCGCTCGCCGACTTCCTCTGCGACAAATCGACGTCGTCACCGCATTTCTCTACGCCCCGGTCGACGTTGACATCTTCGTTAAGCAAGCACACACCTACGTCGACGACCCAACGATGGTCTGCCAACTGCTCAAATCCCTCTACAGGATCAAGCAGGTCCCATGCCTGTGGCAGCAGTACCTGCACCGAATCCTCACCAACATGGGCTTTGCCCAGCTACCGCACGACTAGGGCTGTACCGCCTATCCCGCAGCAGTGACTATGTCCTGCTAATTGTCTACGTGGACGATCTACTTTACGTCGGCTCCACTACTTCCATCACCGTCTGGTTTGAGGGCAAGATGGAACTCCAGCTCACGATCACGCTGTCACCGACCGTGATGCAGTATCTCGGCCTCAGCGTCACTGACGGCCCCGACACCATTAATCTATCGGCCTCGAAGTACGCCGACACCATCGCTTGCAGATTCGATCTGTCCCCGCTATCTCTCGCTACTCTGTACACCTACGCGCATCCGCGTCGACCGCCTCGCTACTCGCACCATCCGGTGTCCAGGAGTACCAGCAAAAGCTCGGCTATCTGCTATTCGCCGCCGTCACCTGCCGTCCCGACCTCTCCTACGCCGATAGCCAGCTCGCTACCTACCTTAAGTGACCTGAAGGGGGGAATCTGGCCGAACTCGACCTCGCGCTCCACTACTTCGTCTCGACCCTGGCGATCGGACTAACCTACCACAAGAACGCCGCTACTAAAATCGAACTCATTGGCTACGTCGACGCCGATCACGCCAACGATAAGGACAACTGCCGCTCACGCACAAGCTACATCTATCACCTGGAACCTATCGGAACTATTTCTTGGCATCTCTCATATGCTGACGCTGCATATATCGCCCTCTGCTCAGCTACAAAGGAAGGACTGTACCTGCACGAGCTGCTCAAAGAAGCGAAGATTGTCGAGTTACCGAGCTTCTCTCTCTTCTGCGACAACCAATCGGCAATCAGATTTGACAACAAAAATGGATTCGCAAATAGGACGAAGCACATCTCGCTTCGTTAGTTTTTTCGTGAAGGACGAGATCGAGCAGGGTCGCCTCCAATTGGTCTATTGCCCCACCACCGAAATGGCAGCTGACTACTTGACCAAGAAGCTGATGAAGGCCAAGATCCGGTACTACATGCTGCTGACTGGGCTGCAACACATCAGCGACCCCAACCACATCAACACTCCAGAAATGAAGAAGGGTGTTGGAAATGTTGTAAAGACTTAGGGCATTTCCGGAGTCTCGTGTGAGTGTACGAATACGCAAAGACAACAACAATGGGGATCACCGAGTCAACACTGCTACAGTACCACCGACAGTTGACGTGGGTTGAAGACAACCCGCAGAGGTTACGAAAGGCCAACGGTCGCAGACCGTTGACCGTGCAAACCAATTGTCAGAATCTGAAGAGTCAAGAGTTAGCGTGACAGTAAGGACAAATAATTGACCCGGTATTACAGTACGGGTGGTTACCCAAGTCGCGTTTATCAAGTCGTGAAAGGGAATGTACCCCTCGAAGTGCAAAATAGTTAGACTCTTCATATTCTCATGTATTAGTATATAAACCTTGCATCCCTTTGCTATAATCAATTGCTTGTCCTCACATACCTGTATAAGGGTTCAACTCAAGACTCCGCTGTGCTATGAAGCACTCTGCTACAAGGACTTAGCATTCTGAAAAGATCCTAGGGCTATTGTCAGCCCAACATCGTTATCAGAGTATTTTACCCTGATGCTCTGATTTCACAGGGTATTTTTTTTACCAACCCTTATTTTCAGGGTTGGACTTTTCTTGACCCTAGCCCCTTCGGGGTTGTAAGTTTCTGAACACTTGGGATTTCAGGGATTACGTTATGCCAATGCTGAGTTTTCAGGAAGCAACGTGTACGAACCCTGAGTGTGACATCCATGTACCTCACAGTCCTGAAATTTTGGCGAAGTCCCCAATCTCTGGAGACATTACCCCCACACACACAACAACCTACAAAAATCGGCTAAGACCTATAGTACAGACATCCCCCCTACACACCCAACAACCCACAAAGAATCGGCTAAGTCCTAATAGCCAGAGATATCACCCTCCTCAACAAAATTTTGTCCAAGTCCTCGTGTACAGACATTCCCCCTCCCACACTCCCGCAACCCATATAACTTGGCTAAGGCCTCAACATCACCCCCATACTCCCCACGAACCCAGAGAATTTGGCAACCCAGTGGAGCAGTGAAATTCGTACATGGAAATGCACCCCTACCCTTAGCAAGGGTACTAGTGACAACGCCTTAGCATGACAAGATCCTTGCCTCTAGCAGCAATCGTTCCTTTCGGGGGAAATTCCGCCAGCTGCTTGTCAGATGTAACTAAATGCCCAACACGCTTTGACGGTCATGATCGACTGTGATCGTTTCGACATTTATCGATCGTAGATGAATTCTTATGATTAACGGCCCTTATTTCTCTTGCCATTTGAAGTCAAATCCATGATGTTGCAAGCAAGCAAAGTCGCTCCCACGCATGGCGCTCATTGGCCAATTGCGAGGGCTTTGTCTCCCTCCCCTCTCTTACGTCCGCCCTTCCCCTCGATTTCGATCCCCCCCGATTTCGATCCGCCTCTCACCTCCGTTTTGATCATCGTTCCCCCTTCGTTTCGCTTCCCCACTCCCCTCGGTTTTTGAATTCCCTCCCCCTTTCCCCTTGATTTCAAATATTCCATCCCCTCCTTTCAACTTCCCCCCCTCACTTGAGCTGTGAGCCATCCGATTTTCACTTCGTCTGGGAAATCAGAAATAGACATCCCCACCCCCCCCCCACCCACCCTACCCCCCCTAGTCTAACTGCTTTAGGAAAAAGGCTAGCAGCAGTCCGGGCATGCTTTCGGCCGTTGCTGAATTCGACCCTGATTGTGTTCTGTGAACCCTGGGAATTTCAGGGTTTCAGGTTTCTTAACACTGACAGTTCAGGGTATATCTGGCGCCACCTATGGAACCAATTTGACACCAAAATACAGTTTTCCTTCGTCTACCACCCACAGATCAACGAGCAGACCGAACGATGTAACCCAACCATGGAAAAAACCCATTTGGACTACCTGTACCGACACCCAGACGTGGGAGAAATTCCCTTCCACTGCTCGAATTCGCATATAAAAGTGCGCTTTCTAGAAAGTGGCATGCATAGTCTAGGAATTAACTATTGCAGCCTAGACGAGTCTTCCTTGTACTGCTGTTGCTGACGACATTCATAGAAATGATGAGATATATCTGTGTTGGTAGAAACCATGGCTCTAGTTGCTTTTCGTTAGGTGTGCTGTCAATTATTCAGCTGCGCTGCTTGGCTGGCTTGCGTGCTCTCTGTAGTTGTTCCCAAGGTTGGAAACTCAGATTGACTGGTTGAACAATTCGAGGTTGGGTTCAACCTTCGAATTGCCCAAGGGTGTGTTCCGAGGTTGGGTTTCGACCTCGAAATGAAATTGAGTTCAGTTGGCGAAATCGGGAGTGACGATTTTGCCTCCGTCTTGTTACATGACTCCCCTCCCCAGCAAGCACCATCCTCGGTGCTTGGGCAGCTGCAAAGTAGTTGGACAGGGTACGTTGAGCATGCTGGAGGCTTGTCTCAAGAATCCAGAGGTTGTGAGAAGAATCGTGGCCACGGCACTTAACAAGGAAGAAAGTGCCATGAGGAGAGGTTTCGCGAGAGAGGATTTTCTCAACTTCAAAGAGGTCAGGGCTTGGGGTGAACATGGGAGGACGTTGAGGTGGAGGGGTGAGAGGGAAGTGGGTTAGGGGAAAATGATAAGGACGGAGTAGCTGAACTTGGAAAACTGGGTGGATGTTGATGCGTGGAGGTAGTTTCAAGCGATAGGTAACAGGAGAGAGGACTTGAGTGATAGGAAAAGGGCCAATGAAACGAGGAGCAAATTTACGAGTAAGACCAGATTTGAGTAATGGCAGCAGTTGAGAGAAGGACTTGGTCACCTTTATGAAACTGGATGTTGCGACGATGTTGATCAGCATACCGGATAATACGTGCTTGTGCTTTCAGCAAGGATGCTCGAGCTGCTGCAATAACCTTCTCGTGGGTGGAAAGGAATTTAGCTGCTGCTTGAGTGTTAGGAGTGCGTACAAGGGATGCTGGTGTGCGAGGTTGTTGTCCTGTAGCAAGGAAGAATGGAGTTTGGCCAGTGGCAAGATTGGGTGTGCTGTTGTAGGAGAATTCGATTGAAGGTAGGTGCACGTCCCAATCATTCTGCCGTGCATTCACACATGCACGAAGGGCATCTTCAAGGTTCGATTCATTCTCTCTGTCTGGCCATCCGACTGAGGATGATAGGCAGTAGAGAGGCAAATCTTGCTGCCCAGTCGTTGAAAGAGGGACTGCCAGAATCTGCCAACAAATCGCGAGTCACGGTCACTGATAATGACGCAGGGAATGCCATGAAAACGTACCACTTCCTTGAAGAAGAGATCCGCTATAGCTTTAACAGTTGCATTTGTACAGGTAGGAAGGAAGTGAGCCATCTTGCTGACTTGTCGACTACAGTAAGGATAGTGTTGTAATCAGAGGAGGTGTGAGGGAGATCAGTGATGAAGTCGAGTGTGACATGACTCCAAGGAACTTGATGAATTTCCAAGGGGTGAAGCAAGCCGTAGGGAGCTGCGTTGCGAGCTTTGTTGCACTGACATGCGTGACAGCTGCGTATGTAGGAACGAATGTCATGAGAGAGCTTGGGCCAAAAAAAGTTTGCAGAAATGGATGCAGGCGTTTTGTCCACTCCAAAGTGTGCATTCTGGTCATGATGCTCGCGTAGCAGGAGGTGATGCAGCTTGTGGTCTGCTGGAACACAGATGGCTTGGGAATCTGCCTTATACCAGAAAGGGGATTCATAGTAGACAGATGGATCGTTAGCAGCAAGATTGAGATAGAAAGGGTCACGATGATAACCTTTGATGAACTTGCCGATGAAGCTTTCATCCCATGTAACACTGCCGATTCTGGTGAGATGAAATTGCGGAGGCCAGGTTAGACAATCAGCAGGGTTGAGGCAGCCAGCGCGATACTCGATTTTCAGCTTAGGTACGTACTGCTCCAGATGCTCCATCCATCGGGCCTGTCTAGGGGTGAGATGAGGTTGTGTCTTCAGGTATTGTAGGGTGCAGTGGTCAGTAAGAACCGTGACGTGTTGCATATGGACATAGCAACGCCACTTCTTGATTGCATGGATGATGGCCAGCGCCTCACGATCGTGAGTAGCATAGTTGCACTAAGTAGGCTTGAGCTTCCGAGAGTCGAAAGCAATTGGCCGCAGCCATGTCCTTGATCCTGACAAAGGATTGCACCCGTTGCAACCTGAGAGGCATCTGTCCATGTCATATAAAGGAGGGAACGGTTGGGTAGGACAAGGGTAGGAGAGCAGGTTAGTGCCCACTTGATAGAGTCAAATGTTTTCTGCTGGTCCGAATGCCCACGGAATCCTTCATTCTTGCAAGAGATAGGGGGGAGGTGATAGCAGCAAAGTGGCGGATGAATTTGCGGTAGTAGTTAGCAAGGCCAAGGAAGGCTTGTACAGTGACGGAAACAATTGTCCGGATGTTTTGCATTCAATAGGTTTTTTCAGCTTTCCGACCTGTGTACATAAACTCTTAGTATTAAATGGTGGTACGCTTTGGGAGGGCACATAGTGTTAGAAATAGACGGCAAATACCACTTTTGTATTTGTACTTTTATATCCTAGTTTAGGTTGTGAATGTTCTAGTGGGTTGGGGTGTACTCACAAATCTCAACCTCACCCAATTGTGATCCCCACAATCTCCAATTACCCAATTGGAGATTCCGGAGATCCCAATGGGGATTCCCTCCAATTCCCCCTTCATCCATTCTCTCACACCTTGCCATGTACTTATAGAGCCTTGGGCTCCTTTCCTAATCAATCATTTCAACTCTATTTCTTACATCGTATCAGAGCGACCTATCCGCACACGCGGATCAAGGTCCTAATCTGAACGTGCCCGCGCTACGCGCACTTCATCGTCGCGACATTCGTTTCGAGTCGTCGGAATTTCGACGTGCTCCACTCTGCAGTCGCGCCTCTCATCGTCGACCGCCTTTGCGCTCGACCTCGTTGAATTTCTCATCTCTGAAGCGTTCACGGTTCTCGTCGTCGATTTCCTCCTCGGTTCTCCTTGGTCGAATCTCAATTTCGACCATCTCTTAAAACTCGTTCTCGAGTTTCCCCTCAGACCCCGCCAGAATAGGCGAACTCCCCTCGCGAAATCGCCTCCACGAACGTCTCGCGTCAAATCAAGAGCAGGTACACAGGTTGAAGTGGAGCGGAGCTGGTTGCGGAGCTGGTTGCGGAGCTGTGTAGCCGCGGGACAGGGCCTGGGGGTGTGTGGGGGGGTGTGTGGGTCCGGGGTTAGACATAGGCTCAGATTCAGTTTCAAGTTGGCGTTTTAACAAATTTTCGCGGACGCCATTTCCTACTTAGCGGCATTTTGATACAGCCGTCAGAGTGATTTTCAGCAATTCTCGTCGACCAATTTCCAGAAGTGCCGCGCTGCACACCGACAATGGCTTACTCAACCACTTCACTCGCCAACCCGATCCCGCTCCTTCGTCTCGAGCCGGACGGCACATGCTCCAACTACAAGGCTTGGCGCTATGGTGTCGACAAGCACCTCCTCAGTCGCGAGGTGAAGGGGCTCGAGCTCACCGACGTCCTTCTCAACATCGGTGACGGCAAAGAGCCTCCTAAACCCGAGAGGTCCGCCGATCCAGCTAATGCCGCCGCCGAAGCAGTTTATGCTGCTGCACTGCTCAAGTACAAGAAATGGGAGAAGGCCGATGGTGCGGTCATTAGTGTCTTTATGGGCACCACTCCTCCCGAACTCGTCGAAACCTACCACAATTATCCGTCTGCCAACGCCATTTGGCTCTACCTCGAGGATCGCTTCCTGAACAAGACTGCAGTGGGAGTTGCTATACTCATCCCCAGCATGTTCCAAGTGCGGCTCGAGGACTCGCCAGGCATGGCGGACTATGTCACCAAGGTGCAGTCCATTCATGGTGAACTCAAACAGTTGGGGATAGTCTTCCCCGAGCAAGCTCCTACAGCTGCTCTCCTAGTCAGCCTCACTCCGGCATACAAATTCACACGCAAGATGCTCTTGGGCCTTGCTCTTGCAGACCTCACATTTGCCAAGGTCTCATCCGCGCTGCTTTCTGCCGAAAAGGACAACAGCGCTCAAGCCAAGGCCAATGCAATCCGCGCTCCCGTGCCTCAAGCCTATGCCGCTTCGGCGCCATTCCAGCGCAACCGCTTCCCCCCGTGTCCCTACATCATCAAGCGCGGCCCTCGTGCTGGCCAGGTGTGTGGCGGCACCAACCACGGCCTTGCCTCCTGCTTTAAGAAGAAGGATGACGAGTGGTATGCCGTCAATGGGACCGCCTCCAAGCCGCCAAGCTGGATGGTCAATCGTGCTCCTCGCCAAGTCAATCAATTCGAAGCGCAGGAATCCGTGCAGGCTGCTGTGGCTGCACCTGCTGATGTGCGCCTCAACATGTTGTTCCCTGGCACTGGCATGATTAATGAGACGATTTCGCAGTATCCTGGCTCACAAAGCACCTCAGCCACAATAGAGTTCACCCTCGACAGTGGGGCCACTCACACGGTTCTCAAGGAAGAACACTCCTTCAAGCCATACGAGACACCAATCCGTCTACTTGGAGCAGACTCCAGTTTCACAACACACGCCAAGGGCTCTTCCACAGTTCCGTGCCCAGCTTTTCCTTCGGGCAGTGTGACTGGCATGTGTGTTCCCACACAACGCCACAATCTCGTGGCCCAACACAAGCTCCAACGGGCAGGCGTCACCACGATCTTCCCAGCACACTCGGATCACTGTGACCTTTTTGACCCTAAGTCCAACAAGCTCCTAGCACGCTTCACACTCAACAGTAGCAAGCTCTACACGCTGCGTTCACCTGCACCTCTCGCCGCCCTCTCCCAAGCGCAAGCTGCCAGCACCACTCCGTGTTTGTGTCGCAGCTTCGCCAACCCAACCATCCTCTACCACCATCGCTTGGGTCACCCCAACTTCCGTACACTTGCTGACATCGCTTCCAAGAAACTTCTTCTTGGCCTCCCGTCGGCGCTTCCTCCACCAACAGACTCACCTGCACCCACCTGCCTGGACTGCACCAAGAGCAAGCTCATGCAGCAGCCGCATCCTTCCTCCCCATCCGTCGCAGCTGCTCCGCTGGACCTAGTGCACATGGATGTCTGGGGCCCAGCTCCAGTCGCATCCCGAGGCGGTCATCGGTACTTTCTTACACTAGTCGATGACCACTCGCGGTATGTTTCTATGCACCTCCTGCATACCAAGGCGGAGGCACCTGATGTCATCATGGCGTGGGTGCGCCAGGCTCAAGTCACGTTCGGCACTCCTCTGAAGTGCCTCCATTCTGATGGCGGGGGAGAATTTCGCAATGGCAAACTCGATAACTTCTGTGCGGCCCAAGGGATTCGGCAAACCTTCACGCTCCCCGAAAGCCCGCAGCAGAATGGCATTGCAGAGAGCCGCAACCACACCTTGGTTCAGATCGCTCGCTGCCTCCTCAGTCACGCCAACGCACCACAGTCACTCTGGGGATATGGCCTCTTCCATGCGGCACTCCTCTACAATCTTTATCCGCATCCCCACCGGCCCGACACCACACCTACCGCTCTCTGGCTTGGGGTCACGCCTTCCGCCCGCTCTCTACACGTCTGGGGGTGTACCGCGTATGTGTTGCTAAGCCCCCACACGCGCAGGAAGCAAGGTGGCAAGCTTGGTCCCAAAACCCAGACCTGCATGTACCTGGGGCACAACTCCGACTCCCCAGACTACTTATTCCTCAACCCAATCACCAGACAGCTGATTCGCAGCCGTGATGTCGTCTTCGATGAGACACGCCCATTCCACTCTGCGACCACGGGCGAGCCTCCTCCACCTCCCCCGACGCTTGTTTGGGCAGACTTTGATGCCCCACCTCCGGCCGCTGCCCCTTCTCCGGGGCCTTCTCCGTCCGGCGTGTCTCACCCGGCCTCCCCAGTATCCTCCGCAGCGGCACCTCCTCCTGCTCCGCCTTCCCCGCGCGTCGAGCCCGGCTCACCAGTCTCCTATCGGAGGCGCCCAGTCCCTCCGGTCCCACCGCAGCCGCCTTCGTCTCCGGTCTCTAGTCGCACTCGTTCCAAGGGACCGGCTCCGCCTCTCGCCTGGGGACCAGCCGCCTTCTCCATCCGGTGTTCGGTCACCCCGCCTCCTCCTGCCGGGGGTGATGTCCCCTCCATCCGTATTCCCCCCGTACACTTCTGGAGGACAGGCATGAGGAGCTGTTTGACCTTCACGCGGTCTGCCAATTTCTCTCTCACATCTTCCCGGACATTACTGACTGCCCTTCCCTCAACTTCACCGAGAACCCGACCATTCCGACTCCTCGCACAAAAGAGGAAGCTCTCTCGGGGCCTTATAAGAAGGAGTGGAAGGCAGCAATGGATGTGGAGAACGAGGCGTTCATTCGCAACAACAGCTTTGATGATGCTGTTCCCCCTTCCGGTGTCAACATCGTCGGCGGAAAATGGATCTTCCGAGTCAAACAACTCCCAGGCGAAGCTCCACTGTTCAAGGCACGATACGTGGTGAAGGGTTTCACCCAGAAGGAGTATCTCGACTTCTTCGAAACATTCTCGCCCACGGCCAAGCTCCCGACTGTGCGCGCTCTTCTTGATATAGCCGCTCGAGGCAACTTCGAGATCAAGTCCATGGACGCCTCCTCCGCCTTTCTCCAAGGCCAGCTCAAGGAGGATGTTCACATGGAACGCCCACCGGGGTTTCCTTGCACTTACCCTGCCAACACAGTGTGGAAGCTGAAGCGCCCAGTGTATGGCCTCAAGTAGGCTCCTCGTGAGTGGCACAACAAGGTGAAGGAAGTCCTCCTCGCACTTGACTTCCATCCCTCTGCCTCAGATTCCAGTCTCTTCGTTCGTCACTCCTCCGAGCCCTTCTACATCCTCGTCTACGTCGACGACTTCATTCTAGCCGCCAGAGATCCAGCCGACATGGCACCTGTCCAGTCTGCTCTCAGCTCCGCCCTTCTCATGAAGGATCTTGGTGACCTCAAGAACTACCTGGGGATGGAGATCACTCGTGACCGCCAGGCTTGCACCATCACCCTCTCCCAGGAGTCCTACATCGACAACCTTCTCAAGCGGTTCGACATGGACTCCAGTAACTCTGTCTCCACTCCACTCCCACTACAGCATCAGCTCACGGCCCCTCCAGTTCCTTCTCCTGACGCCTGCAAGGACCCGTACCCTGAGCTAGTCGGTTCACTCATGTATACCATGATGTGCACTCGACCAGACTTGGCTTACCCGGTTAGTGTCCTCTCTCGGTACGTCTCCCCCGGACGCTACACTGCCTCGCATTGGTCTGCAGCCAAGAGGGTCCTCCGCTATCTACAAGCCACCAAGTCTCACATCCTCACTCTTGGTGGTACCTCTCCAGTCAAGCTCGAGGGATACACAGACTCCTCATGGGCCGATGACCAGACTGACAGACGCTCCTCCCAAGGGTACTGCTTCACCCTTGGTAGCGGAGTCATCAGCTGGCGCTCCACTCGGTCCTCTGCAGTCTCCCTGTCGTCCTGCGAGGCCGAGCTCTACGCGAGCACAATGGCTGCTCAAGAGGCACGCTGGCTCTCCTTTCTCCTCGCTGAGTTAGGCTACCCCCAGCAGTTGCCCACCCTGTGGTGTGACAACCAGAGTGCCATTCATCTCACCAAGGATCCTGTGTTCCACTCTCGCACCAAGCACATCGAACTTCGTCATTTCTTCATCCGAGATCTTGTTCAGCGTGACCAGCTGACGGTACGATACATCGCCTCAGATTGCAACCTCGCCGACCTCTTTACCAAGACTCCGGCAAGGCTGACCACCATCGCCTTCTCCGTTCCATGGGGCTATGTGCTCCTTGATCGGGTTTGCAGTCTATGGGGGTGTGTTAGAAATAGACTGCAAATACCACTTTTGTATTTGTACTTTTATATCCTAGTTTAGGTTGTGAATGTTCTAGTGGGTTGGGGTGTACTCACAAATCCCAACCTCACCCAATTGTGATCCCCACAATCTCCAATTACCCAATTGGAGATTCCGGAGATCCCAATGGGGATTCCCTCCAATTCCCCCTTCGTCCATTCTCTCTCACCTTGCCATGTACTTATAGAGCCTTGGGCTCCTTACCTAATCAATCATTTCAACTCTATTTCTTACACATAGTGGATGTGTTCAGATGGCTAAATTCCATAATAGTACACTGGATCTAACTTAGTGCCAAAAGATATACAAAGAGTACATCCGGACAATTACTTCCCAGGACAAATAGCAAACTTCCGAGCAGCGTTTCTAGTACCTAGTCCACCAAGACTTGGCATTGATAACCACCTTTACCCTCCTAGGCATGATATCTACGAGGTTAGTGCAAAACTTTTCAGGGATCTTCTCGCACTCTTCCTGGACCCACCCTTTAACATAAGGGGGTGAGCACAAGGAAAATTGCGAAGTATTTGAACGTATGCAAGAGTACTGTGCACGATTTCATGTTGAATGTTATCTCTGAGACTAGCCATGCTGAGGTGTGGCCAAAGATGTCATAAGTCGATTAGTCCCATTTTATCATGAATTTTCTTCGTAGTACCGTTGTTGGTTAAAATTACGAGCAGAGTGGCTAAAACTAGCGTGTCCGCCGGGAAACTTAGGGTAACATAGCACGGTCGACTGTGCACCCATTCACTAATAGAATTGCGTTAAAATCTACGGGTCTTGTCACGGTGCAGCAGTCGAAGAAGCCCCGACTGGTGAGGAAAAATATCCGGGTTCAGGTCTGGTGCGGAAGAGGGTCACTCCAGTGCTATAAACTCATGCTCTCCAAGCCATTCCAAGCCTAGGCGGGATACATGGCTTAGAATGGCTTGGAGAACACGAGTATGTTACGCTGGAGTGACCCTTTTTCTCACCAGATCTCAATCCGGATATTCTTTCTGAACAGTCGCGACTTATTCGACTGCTGCACCGTGACAAGACCTACTGATCCTAGCGCGATTCTAATAGTGCAAGGATGCACTGTTGACCGTGCTATGTTACCCTAAGTTTCGTGGCAGATACGCTAGTTTTCGCCACTCTGCTCGTAACTTTTACCTACAGCGGTACGATGAAGACGATCCATGATAAGATGAGACCAATCGACTTATGGCATCTTTGGCCACACCTCAGCGTGGCTAGTCTTAGAGATAACATTCAATCTGAAATCGTGCACCATACTCTTGCATACTCTCAAATCCTTGGCGATTTTCCTAGTGCTCACCCCCTTATGCAAAAGAGTGGGTCCAGGAAGAGTGCGAGAAGATCCCTACAAAGGTTTGCACTAACCTCGTAGATAACATTCATAGGAGAGTGCGGGTGGTGATCAAGGCCAAGTGTCGGTTGACTAGGTACTAGAAACGCTGCTCGGAAGTGTGCTCTTTGTCCTGGGAAACAATTGTCCGGATGTACTCTTTGCATATCTTTTGGCACTAAGTTAGATCCTGTGTACTATCATGGATTTTAGTGCTGTGAACACATCCACTATGTGCCCCTCTCAAAGCGTACCACCATTAAACATTAAGAGTTTATGTAGAGTGGTCGGAAAGCCCAAAAACCCTAATTAATGCAAAACATCCGGACAATTGTTTCCATCACTGTACGTCTTTTATAGCAGTTGGGGGTTTCCAGTCTTGGACGGCTTTGAGTTTCGAGAGATCCATGGCAAGATGGTTGTGTGAGATGACATGGCCCAAGAAAGGAATTGAGGACTTCGCAAACTCACACTTGCTGTGTTTCACAAAGAGGCGGTGCTCACGAAGTCGAGTGAACACCTGTCTTAGATGCTCAGCATGTCCTTTGAATGATTTGCTATAGATCAAAATGTCATCAATGAAGATTATGACAAACTGGTCCAAGAAATCACGAAAGACGTTGTGCATCAAGCACATGAAAGTGGCAGGGGCATCTGTTAGTCCAAAAGAAAGAACTAGGAATTAAAAACGCCCATCTCGAGATCTACATGCAGTTTTCTCGATGTCTTCGTCAGCGATACGAACTTGATGATATCCGCTTCGGAGATCCAGCTTGCTGAAAATTGCGGCTTCGCCAAGCTGATCAAAGATTTCTTCCACACGTGGCAGGAGATAGCGATTCTTGATGGTTATCCACAGACCCCAGCTACTAGTACCCCTGCACTCAGCCCAACAAGCGCTGCACTGTGAAGTACCGGGAGGCCATCTGCGAGTGCATGGGAGGCTATTCCGAAACAAAGGATGGCGACTGCACTGGTGAGACACAGGATGGCGACCAAGGGTTGTGGCTTGGTCAGCCAATGACAAGGGAGAGACCACGGGGTGTGCCTTGGGATATTTCTGAAGACTTCTCGACGTCTCTGTTGCTCTTGTACGTCTAATATGCCTTGACCTTCCTCTTCATTCCTCGCGCACCATGCTCTTCCTCATCTCTCGTGCACCACGCTCTTCCCCATCTCTCGCGCACCATGCTCTTCCTCATCTCTCGCGCACCATGCCCTTCCTCATCTCTCGCGCACAACGCCTTTTCTCCTCTCTCGCGCACCACGCCCTTCCTCATATCTTGCGCACTACGCCCTTCCTCATCTATCGTGCACCGCGCTCGTCCCCATCTCTCGCGCACCACGCTCGTCCCCATCTCTCGCGCACCACGCTCGTCCTCATCTCCCGCGCACCACGCTCGTCCTCATCTCTCCCACACCACGCTCTTCCTCGTCTCTCGCGCACCACGCTCTTCCTCATGTCTCGCGCACCACGCTCTTCCTCATCTCTCGCGCACCACGCTCGTCCTCATCTCTCGCGCACAACGCTCGTTCTCATCTCTCGCGCACCATGCTCTTTCTCATCTCTCGTGCACCACGCCCGTCCTTATCTCTCGCGCACCACGCTCGTCCTCATCTCTCGCGCACCACGCTCGTCCTCATCTCTCGCGCACCACGCTCGTCCTCATCTCTCGCGCACCACGCTCGTCCTCATCTCTCGCGCACCACGCTCGTCCTCATCTCTCGCGCACCACGCTCGTCCTCATCTCTCGCGCACTACGCTCTTCCTCATCTCTCGCGCACCACGCCCTTCCTCATCTCTCGCGCACCATGCCCTTCCTCATCTCTCGCGCACCATGCCCTTCCTCATCTCTCGCGCACAACGCCCTTCCTCCTCTCTCGCGCACCATGCCCTTCCTCATCTCTCGCGCACTACGCCCTTCCTCATCTCACGCGCACCACGCTCGTCCTCATCTCTCGCGCACCACGCTCGTCCTCATCTCCCCCGCACCACGCTCTTCCTCATCTTTCCCGCACCACGATCTTCCTCATCTCTCGCGCACCACGCTCTTCCTCATCTCTCGCGCACCACGCTCTTCCTCATCTCTCGCGCACCACGCTCGTCCTCATCTCTCGTGCACCACGCTCTTCCTCATCTCTCGCGCACCACGCTCTTCCTCATCTCTCGCGCACCACGCTCGTCCTCATCTCTCGCGCACCATGCTCGTCCTCATCTCTCGCGCTCCACGCTCGTCCCCATCTCTCGCGCACCACGCTCGTCCTCATCTCTCGTGCACCACGCTCGTCGTCCTCTGTCGCCCACTACGCTCGTCGTCCTCTGTCGCCCACCACGCTCGTCGTCATCTGTCGCGCACCACGCTCGTCCTCATCTCTTGCGCACCGCGCTTGTCCTCATCTCTCGCGCACGACGCTCGTCCTCATCTCTCGCGCACCACGCCCTTCCTTATCTCTCGCGCACAACGCTCCTTCTCATCTCTCGCGCACAACGCTCCTCCTCATCTCTCGCGCACCACGCTCCTCCTCATCTCTCGTGCACCACGCTCCTCCTCATCTCTCGCGCACCACGCTCTTCCTCATCTCTCGCGCACCACGCTCGTCCTCATCTCTCGCGCCCAACGCTCGTCCTCATTTGTCGCTCACCACGGTCGTCGTCCTCTGTCGCCCACCACGCTCGACGTCATCTGTCGCCCACCACGCTCGTCCTCATCTCTCTCGCACCACGCTCGTCCTCATCTCTCGCGCACCACGCTCGTCCTCATCTCTCGCGCACCAAGCTCTTCCTCATTTGTCGCGCACCCCGCTCGACCTCATCTGTCGCGCACCACGCTCGACCTCATGTGTCGCGCACCACGCTCGTCCTCATCTGTCGCGCATAACGCTCGTCCTCATCTGTCGCGCACCACGCTCGTCGTCCTCTGTCGCCCACCACGCTCGTCGTCATCTGTCGCGCACCACGTTCGTCGTCATATGTCGCGCACCACGCTCGTCGTCATCTCTCGCGCACCACGCTCTTCCTCATCTCTCGTTCACCACGCCCTTCCTCATCTCTCGCGCACCACGCCCTTCTTCCTCTCTCGCGCACCACGCCCTTCCTCATCTCTCGCGCACCACGCCCTTCCTCATCTCTCGCGCACCACGCCGGTCCTCATCTCTCGCGCACCACGCTCGTCCTCATCTCTCGCGCACCACCCTCGTCCTCATCTCTCGCGCACCACGCTCGTCCTCATCTCTCGCGCACCACGCCCTTCCTCATCTCTCGCGCACCACGCCCTTCCTCATCTGTCGCGCACCACGCCCGTCCTCATCTCTCGCGCACCACGCTCGTCCTCATTTCTCGCGCACCACGCTCGTCTTTATCTCTCGCGCACCACGCTCGTCCTCATCTCTCGCGCACAACGCTCCTCCTCATCTCTCGCGCACAACGCTCCTCCTCATCTCTCGCGCACCACGCTCCTCCTCATCTCTCGCGCACCACGCTCGTTCTCATCTCTCGCGCACCACGCTCTTTCTCATCTTTCGCGCACCACGCCCGTCCTCATCTCTCGCGCACCACGCTCGTCCTCATCTGTCACGCACCACGCTCGTCCTCATCTCTCACGCACCACGCTCGTCCTCATCTCTCGCGCACCACGCTTGTCCTCATCTCTCACGCACCACGCTCGTCCTCAACTCTCGCGCACCACGCTCGTCCTCATCTCTCGTACACCACGCTCGTCGTCCTCTGTCGCCCACTACGCTCGTCCTCATCTCTCGCGCACCACGCCCTCATCTCTCGCGCACCACGCTCGTCCTCATCTCTCGCGCACCACGCTCGTCCTCATCTCTCGCGCACCACGCTCGTCCTCATCTCTCGCGCACCACGCTCGTCCTCATCTCTCGCGCACCACGCTCGTCCTCATCTCTCGCGAACCACGCTCGTCTTCATCTCTCGCGCACCATGCTCGTCCTCATCTCTCGCGCACGACGCCCTTCCTTATCTCTCGCGCACAACGCTCCTCCTCATCTTTCGCGCACAACGCTTCTCCTCATCTCTCGCGCACCACGCTCGTCCTCATCTCTCGCGCACCACGCTCTTCCTCATCTCTCGCGCACCACGCTCGTCCTCATCTCTCGCGCACCACGCTCGTCCTCATTTGTCGCGCACCACGGTCGTCGTCCTCTGTCGCCCACGACGGTCGACGTCATCTGTCGCCCACCACGCTCGTCCTCATCTCTCGCGCACCACGCTCGTCCTCATCTCTCGCGCACCACGCTCTTCCTGATGTGTCGCGCACCACGCTCGACCTTATCTGTCGCGCACCACGCTCGACCTCATTTGTCGCGCACCACGCTCGTCCTCATCTGTCGCGCATAATGCTCGTCCTCATCTGTCGCGCACCACGCTCGTCGTCCTTTGTCGCCCACCACGCTCGTCGTCATCTGTCGCGCACCACGCTCGTCGTCATCTGTCGCGCACCACGCTCGTCGTCATCTCTCGCGCACCACGCTTTTCTTCCTCTCTCGCGCACCACGCCCTTCCTCATCTCTCGCGCACCACGCCCTTCCTCATCTCTCGCGCACCACGCCGGTCCTCATCTCTCGCGCACCACGCTCGTCCTCATCTCTCGCGCACCACCCTCGTTCTCATCTCTCGCGCACCACGCTCGTCCTCATCTCTCGCGCACCACGCCCTTCCTCATCTCTCGCGCACCATGCCCTTCCTCATCTGTCGCGCACCACGCTCGTCCTCATCTCTCGCGCACCACGCTCATCCTCATCTCTCGCGCACCAAGCTCGTCCTCATCTCTCGCGCACCACGCTCGTTCTCATCTCTCGCGCACCACGCTCTTTCTCATCTCTCGTGCACCACGCTCTTTCTCATCTCTAGCGCACCACGCCCGTCCTCATCTCTCGCGCACCACGCTCGTCCTCATCTGTCACGCACCACGCTCGTCCTCATCTCTCACGCACCACGCTCGTCCTCATCTCTCGCGCACCACGCTCGTCCTCATCTCTCGTACACCACGCTCGTCGTCCTCTGTCGCCCACTACGCTCGTCGTCCTTTGTCGCCCACCACGCTCGTCGTCATCTGTCGCCCACCACGCTCGTCCTCATCTCTCGCGCACCACGCCCTCATCTCTCGCGCACCACGCTCGTCCTCATCTCTCGCGCACCACGCTCGTCCTCATCTGTCGCGCACCACGCTCGTCCTCATCTCTCGCGCACTACGCTCGTCCTCATTTCTCGCGAACCACGCTCGTCTTCATCTCTCGCGCACCATGCTCGTCCTCATCTCTCGCGCACCACGCTCGTCCTCATCTCTCGCGCACCACGCTCTTCCTGATGTGTCGCGCACCACGCTCGACCTTATCTGTCGCGCACCACGCTCGACCTCATCTGTCGCGCACCACGCTCGTCCTCATCTGTCGCGCATAATGCTCGTCCTCATCTGTCGCGCACCACGCTCGTCGTCCTCTGTCGCCCACCACGCTCGTCGTCATCTGTCGCGCACCCCGCTCGTCATCATCTGTCGCGCACCACGCTCGTCGTCATCTCTCGCGCACCACACTTTTCTTCCTCTCTCGCGCACCACGCCCTTCGTCATCTCTCGCGCACCACGCCCTTCCTCATCTCTCGCGCACCACGCCGGTCCTCATCTCTCGCGCACCACGCTCGTCCTCATCTCTCGCGCACCACCCTCGTTCTCATCTCTCGCGCACCACGCTCGTCCTCATCTCTCGCGCACCACGCCCTTCCTCATCTCTTGCGCACCACGCCCTTCCTCATCTGTCGCGCACCACGCCCGTCCTCATCTTTCGCGCACCACGCTCGTCCTCATCTCTCGCGCACCAAGCTCGTCCTCATCTCTCGCGCACCACGCTCGTTCTCATCTCTCGCGCACCACGCTCTTTCTCATCTCTCGTGCACCACGCCCGTCCTCATCTCTCGCGCACCAAGCTCGTCCTCATGTGTCGCGCACCACGCTCGACCTCATCTGTCGCGCACTATGCTCGACCTCATCTGTCGCGCACCACGCTCGTCCTCATCTGTCGCGCACCACGGTCGTCCTCATCTGTCGCGCACCACGCTCGTCGTCCTCTGTCGCCCACCACGCTTGTCGTTATCTGTCGCCCACCACGCTCGTCCTCATCTCTCGCGCACCACGCTCGTCCTCATCTCTCGCGCACCACGCCCTTCCTCATCTCTCATGCACCAT